CTATGATTAACAAGAAGTTTGTTTGTTGTAAGGAGGGAGAAAAAAAAAAGATAAACGGTATATGATTGTAAATCATTCTAAACGTGAGACAAGAACAAAGTGCAGTGCATTCATGTATGTATCTTTGGATCAAGACTTGTCAAAGTGGATAGTGAAAAAGTTTGATGACAACCACAACCATCCTTTGCATCTTCCTCAGTGCACACATTTGATACCATCTCAAAGAAAGTTATGTCAGGCTCATGCTTTGAATGTTGATATAGCTGATGACACTGGTATCTCTCTTAAAGCAGCACATGATCTCATTAGTGCCTTAACAGATGGAAAAGAAAATTTGGGATTCATGGAGAAGACCAAAAAAGCTACTTGCGTGGAAAAAGACAACGAAATTTGCAATACAGAGAAGCTGGGAGTTTATTAAGATATTTTCAGTAATAAGCAGCTGAAAATCCATATTTTTACTATGCAATTCAATTGGATGTGGATAAAATGATTACTAATATTTTTTGGACTAACCATGAGATGATTACAGATTATGAACTTTTTGGTGATGCCATATCATTCGACACAACATTTCGAACAAATGAGGAGTATCGGCCACTAGCTTTATTTACTGGCTTTAACCACTTTAGAAAGACAGTGATTTTTGGTGCCTCGTTATTATATGATGAAACTACAGCTTCGTTTGAGTGGTTATTTGAAACCTTCTTGCATGCAATGTCAAGGAAAAAAGCCTACCAGTTTTTCACAGACCAAGATCAGGCAATTACTAAGACAACATCTGAAGTCATGCCTAAGGTTTTCCATGAATTATGCACTTTTCACCAAATGTAAAATGCTTTGAAGCATTTAGGTACTTGTATAAGAGTGGTTCAAAATTTGGTAGTGATTTCAAAGCTTGTATTTTTGGATGCGAGGATGAACACGAGTTAATTGAAGCTTGGGATTCTTTTATTGATAAATACAACTTGTATGAGAATGTGTGGATGAAGAAGACTTGGGAAAAAAGAGAGCAATGGACGCACGTATACATGAAATACTTGTTCACTGCAAGAATGCGAAGCACCCAACTTAGTGAAAGCCTGAACGCATCATTAAAGAGGTATTTGCAAGCTGATCATAATATTGTTCAATTTTTTACCTTCAATCGGATTGTTGTAGATAAGCGGTACGAAGAAGTAAAAGCTATATATAATTCTAGACAACAATTGCCGAGAATGAAATTGAAAAGGTCTCCAGTTTTGAACCAAGTTGCAAATTTGTACACCCCTCCTATCTTTGACTTATTTCATAATTAGTTGGATATGTGTCTTTCTTGTCAAGTGAAGCAATGCCATGAGTTAGAAGGAGAAGTTCAGTACATGATTAGCTTGTATGGTGATCATAGAGAGTATATTGTGGAGGGTAATATGGAAATCAATGAGTTAGGAGGAGAAAAAATTTGTCAAAAAATTCGTTGCACTTGTCAAAAGTTTGAAAACGTTGGAATTTTATGTGGTCATGCAATTAAAGCACTTGATAGAATGAATGTTATGGAAATTCTTGAGAGGTACATTTTAGGTTGATGAAGATTAGATGCCAAAAGTGGTGAAATTAAGGGAGGAAAAGTTGAAATGGATGAGAATGATCCCAAGTTAGAGATATCAGCACGTTATAGGGATCTTTGTCCTAGGATGGTAAAGCTAGCAACTCAAGCATCTGTTTATAAGCCTGTTTATCAATTGGTTGATGAAGGGGTTAAGGAACTGTGTACAAAAGTGAATAAAATGATGGTATCATTTGATGATTTGGGTGATTGTAATAGTGGAAACAACATTGATATGACTTCTAATCCTAACTTTGCATGAGTTAAAGGCTTAAAAAAAAGGTGGACAGAAGGGTAGGGGCAGATTAAAACCTTGGCATAAGAAGATTAATAAGAGGAAAAAAATTATTTCACAACCTACCGACCTTAGTAAGGTATTGTTCACCTAATTTGATTCTAATTTTTGCTTTCTTTTAGACTCATGCAATGTATTGATAAATGCTATAATTTGTTTAGAAAATTGGCCAATCAAGCAACACGTTAATTGTTCAAAGTTCTTCTTTATGCCGTTCACAGGTTAGATTTTGTTTTTTATATTTAAATTTTCTTATAATTGTATATTTACTTCTAACAGTATTTTATGAATTAGGATGTTGGGATACCCTATTGGCCACAATTGATGAATTATGGTCACAATCTTTTCAAGCTTGCCGATACTAACATTGCGTGCTCATCAAGTTACCCACAGTCTACCCCTTTATCTTCACAACTATTAGTTAATCCACAAACTTCTCAGATATGCAATTTAAGTTTGTAATGTAGTTTGTTTTTAATAAAAAAATAAATTGACTCCAATATATTCTCTCACACTTATTCATTTTTATTTTTTTAGGGGATGTTGTTTGATGAAGGAGAGCTCAATCCCATGGGGGACGAGTCATTCTTAGATAATAAAACTTTTTTTAAATTTTGTGGTCATTCACAACCTCACCCACAGAATTGAAATGTAGTATTTTTATTTTATTTTTTATCGTTATTCTTAGATAATGATTTTTTTTTTTTTTTGAGACATATTTTGAATATTTCAAATGGGTTTTATAGAATTTTGTTTGAGCCTTGAATTTTTTTTAAGTGTTGTTTTGGATGGACATATTGTAATTTTTGGCATAACTTGATAATTATTATTTTTTAATTATTGATTTGATGAATTATATTGTTTATTCTTGAAGTAGTCATTTTGTAGTCATTTTACTTCTTGTTTAGATGAATAAGTGCAAATATATATCGAATTGAGTGGCGTCATCAATTCATAAAAAATATAAATTAAATGGACATTATTTATTCTCTCACTATGAAATTAAGGACCACAAAATAAAGTGAGATTATGACATTCACCTAATTAGATTTACATACATATAGTTTTTTTTTTGTTTTTTTTTTTTTACGACACTGCATTTGGATATACATTTGAATAATATAATAAATAATATGTGTCATATATAATATTGAGGATGCAAAGTGGCGTGGCGGTAAGAGTATTGCATATGGTGGCATGGTCAAGGGATCAAACCTTGGTGTTTATTTTAATTTTTGATTATTTTAGTAGATTAAAATTTGTGTGTTTGAAAAGATAATTAAATTTTTTTATAATTAGATATGATGTTTGTAAAAGAAAAAGTTAAATAATTATGAATTTGATGTGACATTTTGTCTTATTAACTATTATTTTTTTGTAAATTTTAGTCTAAAAAAGCCTAAGGCATTGTTTGGAAAGTGGGTTTGGGGCTAAAATAACCACAAAAAACAAAATAGACTTTTTAGCACTAATAAGACAAAACATCACATCCAATCCATAATCATTACATTCTTTTTCTTACAAAAATGTCAAAAAAATCAAAAGCCCTTCCCAAACTAGACTTTTTAGCCCTAAGCTAAAATAGCCAAAAAAACAAAAAAGCCAACCCACTTCCCAAACCAAGCCTAAAATTTTTTCTTGCCAGAAAAACTTATCCAATATAATGGAAGGGTAAGATTTTCTTGTAAGATATATGATTGTAAGTTTCAACTCCCCGATATGCTAATCTAATAACCAATCACTAATTTTGTCGATAAAAAAAATAAAAACAAAAACAAAAAGAGTATAAATGAGTCAGACAGCATCAAGGTAGGTTTAGGAGTGGAAGTAGGAATGGCAACGGGGCGGGGCGGGGCCGGGGATCACCCATCCCGTCCCCGATCCCCGATGGCCAAAACCACTCTTATCGGGGACGGGGGGTCGGGTCCCCGTCGGGCCGGGTTCAAATTGCCATCCCTACAGTGGAAGAAGCTATACCCATGAAAGGCTATTTTGGTCTCTATCTCCAAAACAATAACGAGAATATTTTGGTCTCTATTTCCATGCCTCAAATACACCATTATTTCCTATTTTTAGAATTTGAAATGATTTTTGATGATAGACAAATAATGGTGCCCTACCCCTAACCACATGGAAGCAAACAAAACCATGAGTTGGTTTTGTGCTAATTTCACGTCCATGAAAGCATGCACTGAATAATGTATAGAACATCAAGAACCTAAAACCTCTGTAGATTACCACAAAACCGAAAAATGGAGCGATTGAGACCACCTAAATGTTTTTCTTTATGCTATGTTTGCATCCTAAATTTATCAAGAAAAAGCAAAACAAAATGGAAATTAAAGAAATGAATTTAACTTCTTTCCACATCATTTCTTTATATAACCTTATGCATAGTCACTCGAAGCAAAAATCAATGTTCACCTACTTGTGTGCGAGTGTATGGATCCAAAATTCATGATACAATAGTTTAGCATGGAATGAATTGACTACATATTGAACTAGTGTAATCAGAACTAACCTGGCCACAGCTTCTCATGTCTCTTTCCTTGAGCCCCAACATGGCTCATCCAAGGATGATTATTATCCACAGTGTTAGAATTTACCATCACCTACCACCAATTTACCATCACCTACCACCACCTACTCCTCACCTACTCCTCACCTACTACACTCACCCTCTCCTATATAATGAGCCACTCACCATGTGTAATATATATCAATCAATATATCAATCATAATATATACACAATTTATGCTCTCTCTCTATCAGTTTATTTTTTTACACACAGCAACACACGAAACAAAGCTGCAACTGAATGTCACGCCTGACCTATATTCAGTAGATCAATAACATGACAATCTTATGATATTGACCAAACATGTTTCAAAACAACCAATGAAGCAGATGATCAACTGTTCACAGCCAGTCCATCTGAATGAGCGCTCACATTTAATCATCATATACTTTATTATAAGACGAATTAAACATATTCTATAACAGACAGAAGGCAGCAATACTGACCTGTCATGTGGTGTGACCACTTCAAGTAAACACGATACACCTCAAGAAACCTTATGACTACAACTCTCACAGTAGTATTCACAGCAATATAATGATAGATAATCCAAGAAGAAAACATAATTGATTAACAATATAGTATTTGCCTATTTCAAACAAAGAAAAACCTTAAGAACTTGACAGAACTTGAGAAAAAGGAAATCAAGGTCAGTTAGATCGTTACTATACAAGCGATAAAGATAATTTAAGAAACAAACAGAACTCATGGTTGTATATGATATTCCAAAAACTAGGTGACTTCAGAAAGTAAAACCAAGCGAGGTTGCTGTCCACTCCAAGAAGCTCAAGGCTGTGGGAGTCAACATACAAGCAATTTTTGGCAGCATAGGGTATGCAAGTGTGCCAAGCATAAACCAATTGAAGCTTAAAAGAGCAACTGCATCGGATGCAAGTTTATTCTTAATGGTACAGAAGAATTGTACAACGCTCTTCAACGACATGGCAACCACAGTAAAGAGAGCTACTACAAGCGGCATGCAAGGGTCTTCAGCCTCCCAGATGATCATTCCTACTAACAGAGACAAAACCGCACTGAAAAAGCTCTGTGAAAGTGCTACCTCTCTTCGTTTACCAAGGACTTCATTCATGTTCAGATTTCTAGAGAGACTAATACCAGGCGGAACTGCATGGCTAGGCCCACTGACTTTCAATTCAGTTCTCATGAAATCGAGCGAGTCGGCTTTGTGTTCTCTCTCTTCCTCCCAAGCGTCTTTGTGGATCAGGAGGTCTTCAAGGATAACACCACTCCCATCAAAACTAGATTTCCATGATGGCATCCCATAGGAACCGTACCTATCAGTAACTTCATTGTTGCGGTTATTGCCTTTGCCTGCATCAACTTGACTTTGAAAACTCCGTAGTCTTTTACCCTGTATCTCCTTCAGCCGAAGATTTTCTTTGATCACGTCCTGCAACTGTTGGAGAGTACGCAAAGTTCAACCAAGTACAAGGTTGAATATACAGAATAATGAAATATTAACGGTAAGAAAAATGTAACAGAAGTTGATGGTCAAGCATCTGAAGTTAAATTTTCATTTACAATAATTTAAGGCCATTTTGAGGTTATTGGTATTCTCCATCTTTTGATTAAACTCACGGAACATGGATCTGAAGGTTATCACAAACTCAATTTTATGATTTAATTTTTTTTGTATTTTTCCTTGTTAGGTTAAGAATATAGATTAAGTCACAGCCCCTGTTTACAAAGAAACGTACATGAAGAATTTTTTTTCTTGAACAATAAATACCTAGATTTAGAATTTCATCAAAGCAACATTTGTTTCAAGTGCAGTGATTTTAAAATATGTGGATTTCAAATCCCTTGATTGTCAATGTCAGAAGAACAATATTAAATGCACTCTTGAGGGAGTTGGTCATAGTAGAAAATTAAAGGCTGTTTCTGACCAAAAGAGAAATTACACAAATTAGCAAGTATGACCAATATAGCATCAAAGTTGCAAAATGATCAGAACTTCGGTACCTCACTCTCCAATAGTTCAATTTTGACAATAGCCTGATCATGATCATCTTCAAGTTCTGTTAACATTGCCTCCATCATTCTACATTCTTTAATGGCCATTTGCAGACGTTCTTCAAGTTCCTTCCTGTTCCACACAAGATTCTCCAGCTCAATCTGCAGCTCATGAAGACGCATTTGCAGCTGCATATCATAAACAATATCCCATATCAATAATTTGTCTAGAGACATTGGGAACTTTAAAGCGTCAGTAATTGACAAAATTATATCAAACAAAAAGAAACGCCACAATATGAAGAGGAAATGGACAAAAAGTGAGAGGAGAAATAATCCTTAGTAGCCATTCATCTAAATCTCTCACACCAGCTGACCACCTTGACTATTTAAAATCTCTTTCTTACTCCAATGAAATTTTGGAATGTCATGTGTGCACCTAGAAGGACTTCATCAAAGAAATTTTTGGGATAATAGAATATCAAAATGTGTATTAAAAAATAAAAAAGATGAAAAAGATGCATAATCTTTTGGTTATGTTCCTCAGACGCATAATCTTTCTGTATGATTATTGGGAAAAGACTTTGGTAGGGATGAATTAATACTCAAATTGGGCATCAAATAGCATGTATTGATGTGAACATCAGAAATTTCAGCAATAGTATCGTACAATAGGCAAGGAAAACTGACCAGCCTCTCCCTCTGTAGTGCAGTCAAAACTCTTACAGGAAGAGATATAAAAGTGAAGGTCCAAAACATAACGCTCCACAGTATATTTAAATGAACGCTGATAGAAGTTCTCAGCACCTCGACCCAGGTGTAAACAACAATGCAGAAGCTTCTCATGGCAAAGATACACGATAGTTTAACCAATGAGAACGGCTTTGTCATCAAGATTATTATAGTACCCACTAATTCATGAAACAATGCCATCATATCCATCGGTACACAGCAAACTAGTGCATCCCCACAAACTAAATGTACATTCGCACAAACTACATATCCACCATTTGAACAAAGGTTTGATTGTTAAGTGTACGTCTCCTATATCCTGCACAAAAGGGATATTGCAGTTGGAGAAGATAGCTTCCTTCCATGAGAAACAGTTTCATTGCATGTAAGAGAAGTGTAGGCAACACTGAAATTCAAAATAGTCAACAGACAACAAAATACATCAATCTTAATGTAGGATGCTAATTGGTGCCATCTCTTTATACAAAACCCAAAAAGATGGAGAACTCAGTATATTTAATTTCCTGAAATCATCATTTCAAGTTTTCAAACACCCAACAAATAAAATAAAAAATTAACAGATAAAAAACACTTTGGAATCCAACTCCGGTATAAAATTTAATAATTAATTTTTTTATAGATTTTCCTTTTCCAGTTAAAGGCAAGGAGAAACTACAGTAACCATTTAAGGCACGGGATCCTCTCACGTCGTCTTTAAAACTTTCCCAATTAATCTTGGAAAGTATGGTCCACACAACACCAAAAGTTTACCAAAAGATCTTGATATGGAAAATTTTCCACCAACAGTTATAACTCAGCAAACATCTTGCAAAATTTGTCATCCTTGACCAATTTTACACGAAGATGATCCTGTTCTTTAAAATAGTGATATTCACATTGGGATGGAATACCAAACTTTGTGTGTTCAGCATGTAGAGCTTGGTAACAATTACTTGATATACACATTCATATTCATATACGAACTAAATCTCCTATGATTTACATCAAAACAAGGGCTTGTCTAAAACAATTGAACAATAAAAAAATAAAAACACTGGTGGATTCTTCTTTTGCATTCAATGGAATGTCAAGAATCGACTAGCTTAGCTTTACCCTAACATCCTAACTGCTGAAGTCAACCCAACCAACTGTCCATGAGCATATTATTGTTAAATCATTGACCTTGATGCCGTTTCTCATAACTCAACTTCTGCTGTTTTCAGGCTGCCCTTTGTCTTTTAATGTAATCAAGCTAAGTCAAATCACTGTTTATTAGTGATGCATCCATTTGCCTTGCATGAAGAAAGCATAAGGCTGTGTTTGGTTTAGGAATTTCGTGAGGGATTTGGAAAGAGAAGAAAAAAAAGTGGGTTGAATGTTAATAAAATATAACTACATTTCACACACTTTTTCCATTTCCCTTTCCACATTCCTCACCAAATCCCCGAACCAAACACAGCCTAAAGGAATAAATTTAAATAATTTGAAAAGGTGCAAGAGATTGATTTCATTGAGAGTAAAGATTGACACAATCACAATGGATGACAAAGGGCAACTCAAAAGAAAACAAAATATCATTTGAAGTAGTAGAATCACAAAACTACTTCCACCATTGGAACATTCTCTGTTTGACTGCTGAGAAAACAGTGGAAAAGGAAAATAAATAAATTACTCAAATCACAATGTTACACCAAATGTTCAACCAAAAATCCCCAAGTGCAATGGAAAATTTAAATTTAAAAAAAAAAAAAAAAAAACGAACAATCTAGTAAATTAGATCGACAGAGGAAACAACAACAGATCATAAATTCATAGAGCTAAGAAACAATTTATAAAAGACCCAAAATACAAATACAATAATTCAAATTCAAAACCTAGTTTGCTCCAAAATCCACCACTTTCACAGCAACGTAGTGTCAAAACACATGGATACTTTTGAAGAGAGAGGGAGAGAGAGAGAGAGAGAGTTACCTTGTGAGTTCTGATGATGATTCTGGGTTTTCCCCAACAGGGGCTTGAAGATGGAAGCCTTTCGGAGCAAATGAGTGAGTCAGTGAGGAGAAGAGAGGAGAGGTGACGACACGTGGAATGGCATGAAGGGGGACACGTAACACTTTGGGAGTTGGAATAGATCGCATTGCGCCGCCATGTGTTTTAGTTAGGGGTGGGCGCGGCTCGTTGCGGCCACGAAACTTTCAATCGGCATCCGTCTGTCAAATTAGTGGATTGGAAAAAATCAATCCGTATCTATTCGTCAATTTGATATATGTGGATTGATGGTTTGGCGGGTGGATTGAGCAGATTCGTGATTTGGCGGATAAATACGAATCAGTTTGACAGTTTAAAATTTTATAAATTTTCAACATAGTTCAACTTGTGCACTTCTTTCAACTTGTGCACTTCTTTAAAAAAAATATATATATATATATATATATTACACTCAATGACTTAAAAAAGTATTACAATTACTGTATGTCTCATCCAAAGAAAAAAAGTTTGAAATTTTAGAATATCACAATCACTGCATGCCTCGTCCACATATTACAATCACAGCATGCTTTATCCACATAAAGTATTATAATATGTGGTTCTTAAAATATAAAAACAATTCAAACCACCAAAACCATGAACAGAGCAGTAGTAGAAAGTGTATGTCTCTCTATTGTTACATTTATATATATTTTTGAAAATAAAAACCAACCAGTATATATCATATTTTCTATTTATTACTTTTAGAGTTAGATTTAAAAACCAAAAAATATAAATAAATAATACGTTTATTTTTTTCAATTAAAAAAATATATTCAAGTTGAAAAAAAAAATTCAACAGAATATTTAAACTCTTTTTCAATTGAAAACACAAACAAAATATTTAAACAAATTGAAAATACAAAGTTTTATAAATTATTAAGGGTGCTCGAGATTTGGCGGTTCGGTTGCGGCTAAAGGAACCTCAAATCCACCATCCGTCCGCCAAATTGGCGGATTAGAGAAAATCAATCTGCAATCGTCCACTCGTCATCACGCATTCATCCAAAATGTGACAGATCGGTTCGATTTTGTCAATTTTGACGGATTGGTATATCCACTGCTCACCGCTAGTTTTAGTGTACGGAGTGACTGTGCTCTTTTGGGGGATGCTGCTGTCGCTCTCTTAGATTTTTTTTTCCCCTCAGATTTTGGATAAATTACACTCAATTTTATATTTAGAAAAAATATAATGAATTTCATAATTTTAATTCACATATCACTTAATTCATTTTTAATCAATCATTTTTAACTTTATATTTAAGAAAATAAAATAAATTTTATAATTTTAATATATTTATATTAAAATTTTAAAATTTTAATTCACATAGTACTTAATTAATTTTTAATTAATAATTCATTAGTTATATGAATTAAAAATTTATTTTATCATTTGTTTTACAATAAAATGTATATTTTTCTTATTTAACTTTGTGTCTTTATACTATTTGATTTAATTTTGATTCTTTTCTCAATTTTTTATTTTTATTTTGTATAAACGATTCTTTTAATTTTACTAAAAGAGAAGTCGATATAATTATATCAAAATTATCTTGTATTTTTCTCAAATCTCAATGCAGTTAATCTAAAAATTTTAATGCTTATAATCTTTCATTTTATCTTTTTGTTTTAGTAGAAAAATAATAAGTTAAGCATTTCTATTCGTAAACCCTAATTTGTTTCAATTCTCTCATTATGTTTCATAATTGTATATTTTTTCTATGTATGTAGCAAAGCCAATCTCCATAATCTCCCGTTCTGCTTTTATTTTTTATAGTGAAGTTGCTCGTAGCTCTCTCACTGATGCCATCGTCTTATATTTATTACTTGCGACTACCATATTCGCGTCCTCTTCTACCATCTCAGATCTCTCACCAAAGATCTAATAACTAAGGCTTGGTTTGGCATGTCCTAAATAATACAAAAAGTCAAAAAGTCACTATCCTATTTAAGTCAAAGCCAATCTCCATAATCTCCCGTTCTGCTTTTATTTTTTATAGTGAAGTTGCTCGTAGCTCTCTCACTGATGCCATCGTCTTATATTTATTACTTGCGACTACCATATTCACGTCCTCTTCTACCATCTCAGATCTCTCACCAAAGATCTAATAACTAAAATCGATAACTTCATATTTGTACTCTCTCTCTCTCTCTCTCTCTCTCTCTCTCTCTCTATTCTTGTGGTTCGATTTAATTTGATTCTAAAAATTTCATAATTCAATTTGTTTTCAAATTTTATTAAATCGTACATAATGATTTAATTTTAATTTACTACACCAAACCATACTAACCTATCCTCTAAAGTTTCATGGAAAGATTTAGGGCAAGTTTGGGTACTTCCAAAAAAGACAAAAAGTCAAAAAGTCAAAAAGTCAAAAAGTTATTCACTGAGTAGTGTTTGTTAAATAAGCTGTGAAGTAGCTTTTTCAATTAATTTTTATTTTTTATTATTCACTATTTGTCTACATTTTTCATAAAAAATAATAATAATATTTAATAGTCCATTTGAGTCTTTTTCTATTTTTAAAAAAATAAAAAATAAAAAATCTAAGAGTATAACCGTGAATTAACATGTCCACAGCAGAAGCTGATAATCAAAAGCAAGGGGTGAGCAGCTTCTCAGAAGCAGCTTTTTTGACTTAAAATAAGTTGTTAGAATCAGAAGCTGTTTGAAATAAGTTTAACCAAACAGTCCAAAATAACTTTTTAAAAGCCAGAAGCCATAAGTTGGCTTAAAAAAGCTACACCAAACACCCCCTTAGCCTCAGCAGTTGGACCAAGCTTGTCAAGAATGAGGATATCATTATTACTCCCTCTATTGTCAACCTTTGGGCTATATGGGTACAGCACAACAGTATTGTTTTCAATAGCAACTTTTTAACCACATTGCATGTCCACTTTTTATAATAGCCCAGTGAAACATCTATAGTACCCATGATCGATTCAGTCTTGTATAAATCAGATAATTCATATAAAAGTGGTTATTTGCTTGCAAATTCTTTTACTATAAGCGTTCATTTAGGAATTATCTATTTTAATTAGTTTTTTTAATTTTAAAACTAGAATTGCTTGGGTTTGCTATAATGAAGAGCATAACATGGTTGGAAAAAATGTGCAAAGTCTCCAACTTCCGTCTCCATTAGCAGCAGAAGCCCGAGCATGCTTAGTAGCCATACAATGGGCTCGAGAATTGAAACTCTCTTGTATTCCATCGTCACCAACCGTCAAGTTTTGATAAATATTTTGAAAGGCAGTTGCGATCCAGATTAAAATGATATGAATGCATTTAAAGATATGAGGTCATATTTGTTTGGGCGGACTGAATTAGCATTCCTATGACTAATAGTCCTAAGACTACGAATCCGTTGGATTATGTATCCTATCTTAACTAATAGTCAAGTTTAAAATAATTAGTCCCTACTTCAATTGTTTAACCAAACATCGGATTAATAATTTTATTGGACTATTAGTCCAATCCTAAGTTTATGTCCACCCAAACAAACATGGCCTTAATGTTGTGTTTAGTTGAGGGATTTGAAGAGAGATTTGGAAAGAGAAATGGAAAAAGTAGGTGCAATGTGAATAAAACATTCATATATTTCACTTAGTTTCACACACCTTTTCCCTTTCTCTTTCCAAATCTCTCCCCACATCTCTCTCCAAATCCCCTAACCAAACACAGCCTAATAGTGTGTATTTTGATTTTCTTTACATCTCTAAGGTTAATAAGTCTATCGAGCCAGCCTATCAACTAGCAAAGCATGTCATGTAAGTGACATTCATAATTAATGATATATATGTATTTTTTTTTCGTTGCTCAAAAAATAATTAATTAATTATTATTTGTACAACATACGAGAATTTTAAGTGACATTCATAATTAATGATATATATGTATTTTTTTTTCGTTGCTCAAAAAATAATTAATTAATTATTATTTGTACAACATACGAGAATTTGAACCAGACATGACAGGTATAATAACGATATATAAACAAATTTTTAACGATAATATAGTTTTTATCGGCACTTCATTTTCAATTAAAACACTTGTCGCCACCATTTTCATTATTTTAATAATGTGATTGATTCATTATTTTTACAGTAACAAATTTTCTGTTTCCGAATCATCTAAAAAAAGAAAATTGAATGATTTTTAGTTCCTGGAGTTGCAATAAGAGCCAACGCTATCCCTACTGGACAAAACGAAATGGAGTTGACAATTCAAGTGCAACCTGAACTTAACCGACGCAATCGACCCCACGCGCCACCTTGTCATCGCCGTCCCGATCAACTCAAAACTCGCATAGTCCTGTTTCAGAGACAAATCAACAAGCACTACCTTGTCAGGACTCAGAAGAATCGGCGAGGACTCGATCTGGTACGCGTATTCGACGGAGCTGTTCTTGCTCACGTCGAAGGGCACCAAGACGAGCTTCGTCAGCTCGAGGCCGCGAATTCCGACGATGAAGGCGGTGTCGGAGAAGTGAGCGTGAGCGTTGGCGTTGTCGTTCTGGAACTTGATTTTGATGGTGAGTTTGGTGGTGAATAGGGAGGAAGATTCAGAGTAATCGAAGATGTCGAGGTGAGCATAGGTGAGGGAGATTAAGGGGACCTTTGGGCGGATGGCGATGTAGGCGATGAAGACTGTGATGCCGATGATTATTACGGAGACGGTTATGATGGTGCAGAGTATGGCGATGAACCAGATGAATCGGCTCGTGGTGCGGACTCGCGGTAACATTTGGTCTGAATCTGATGGCATTGGAAGTGGTGGTGGTGGTGGTGGTGGTGAGGACACAACATCCGGTGGAAGAAGGTGGTGGTGGTGGGTTTTGTTGTGTTTATGCTGTTGGGATGGGGATTGGGATGGGGATGAATTTGGAGTTACTTTTAAATGGACTTTATGAAACTACCCGAATCCGCATACGCTATACCCATTTGCAAAACACCCGAACCCAAATCCATTTTTTTTTAGTATTTATTTATTTTTATTTTTTTTAGAGAAAAAAATGAAATTTTGTAGTAATTTATTGACTTTCTGATTAAAAAAAAATTATATACCAACTTACTTTTTAGACTCACTTTCTAGATTCAATA